TCTTCATGAAACCTTAAGATCCTTTTAAAGTCTTATTTCACCCCAACCTTCTTTCTTGACATGAATTTTGTGTCCCTGCTAATAATTAATTGGAAAAGCTTCCAGGCAACATTTGAGCCTCCTAAACCAGTTAAATTTAAATATATTTTCCTATTCTGTTACATCCTTTCCATTTCAGTAGGAGAATGAATTTAACTTCTATGTTTACATGATTTCGCTCCAGGCATATCAAACTTAAATTACTGTTTATGTGAGTGTGTATAAAATAAAGGAAGTTGACCCTTTATTTTTATAGGTTATTAAGAGAACTCAATCTCCTGTCAATCATAATACCATGTGGACAGATGATTTTCCTTCTGTGGAAATGCCTTTATAATCTAGTAGAAGCCCAAGGAGAATAAATTCCCTATTCACTTATTCACACTGATTTGACTTGATTTTCTATAAATGGGTAATGAAATATAATTATTATGACAATTAAGGAGCTCCACTGGTACTGTGGCTTAAGCATTGGGTTGCTAACCAAAAGGTCGGAGGTTCGAACCCACCAGCTGCTCAATGAGAGAAAGATGAAGAAGTCTGCTTTCATAAAGATTTATAGTCTTGGAAACCCTCTGTGGCAGTCCTACTCTATCCTACAGTGTCCTTTTGAGTTGGAATTGACTTAATGGCAGTGGGAAAGTTTGTTACAAAAGTTAGGAGAAAACAGTGGCTATGGGAGGAATACCAAGTATAAAATTATACCAATAGACATCTTAGTAAGCATCTTAATTATTTTGGTCAATTATCTCAAAATCTGGAATACAAAAGTTGGAAACAAAGAAGAGTCACTGGTAGTTGGAAAATATGGCCTTGGAGACAGAAATAACACTGGAGATTGCATGATAGAATTTTGCAAGACCGATAACTTACTCATTGCAAATACCTTTTTTCAACAACACAAATGGCAGCTATACACGTGGACTTCACCAGATGGAGTACACACGATTAAGACTGACTACATCTGTGGCAAGAGGTGATGGAGAAGTTCAATATCTTTGGCCAACAACGGCTAGGAGCTGATAGTGGAACAGACCATCAACTACTCATATGCATGTTCAAGTCGAAGTTGAAGACAATTAAAACAAGTCCATGAGAGCCAAAATATGATCTTGATAATATCCCTCCTGAATTTAGAGACCATTTAAAATATAGATTTGATGCACTGAACACCAATGACAAAAAACAGAGGATTGTGGGATGACATCAAGAACATCATCCGTGAAGAAAGCAAGAGGTCATTAAAAAGACGAGGAAAAAAGAAAAGACCAAAATGGATGACAGAAGAGACTCTGAAGCTTGCCCTTGAGCAGAGAGTAGCCAAAGCAAATGGAAGAAATGACAAGATAAAAGAGCTGAAAAGAAGATTTCAAAGAGCAGCTAGCGAAGACAAAGCCAATTACCATAATGAAACGTGCAAAGACTTGGAGTTAGAAAACCAAAAGGGAAGAACAGTCGGCAATTCTCAAGCTGAAAGAACTGAGGAAAAAATTTAAGCTTCAAGTTGCAATATTGAAAGATTCTATGGCCAAAGTATTGAATGATGCAGGAAACATCAAAAGAAGATAGAAGGAATAGGGAGAGTCACTATACCAAAAAGAATTGGTCAATGTACATCCATTTCAGGAGGTGGCATATGATCAAGAACCAATGGTACTGAAGGAAGAAGTCGAAGCTGCACTGAAGGAACTGGCAAAGAACAAGGCTCCAAGAATTGAGAGAATACTCATTGAGATATTTCAAGAAACAGATGCCAAGCTGGAGGCACTCACTTGGCTATGCCAAGAGATATGGAAGACAGCTACCTGGCCAACTGACGGGAAGAGATCCGTATTTGTACCCATTCCAAAGAAAGGTGATCTCACAGAATGTGGAAATTATCGTACAATATCATTAATATCACATGCAAGTAAAATCTTACTAAAAATAATTCAAAAACAGCTGCAGCAGTATATTGACAGAGAGCTTCCAGAAATGCAAGCTGGATTCAGAAGAGGACATGGAATGAGGGATATCATTGCTGATGTTAGATGGATATTAGCTGAAAACAAAGAATACCAGAAAGATGTTTACTTATGTTTTATTGACTATGCCAAAGCATTCGATTGTGTGGATCATGACAAATTGTGGATAACATTAAGAAGAATGGGAATCCCAGAAAACTTGATTGTGCTCATCAGGAACCTATACATAGATCAGGAGGCTGTCATTTGAACAGAAGAAGGGGATACTACATGGTTCAAAATCAAGAAGGGAGTGCATCAAGGTTGTATCCTTTCATCCTACTTATTCAACTTGTGGGAGCTCTGGTAGCATAATTCCTAAGGCACTTGACTGCTAACAGAAGGCTGGCCACCAGCCACTCCTCAGAAGGAAGGTTGGGCAACCTACTTCCGTAGTGATACTGCCTTGGAAACCTAAGGAGGGGTCGCTATAAGTCAGGTCTGACTCGACAGCACATAACAACAACAACAACAACAACATTCAACTTGTATGCTGAGCAAATAATCTGAGAAGCTGAATTATATGAAGAAGAATGTGGCATCAGGATTGGAGGAAGATTCATTAACAACCTGCGATACGCAGATGAGACAACTTTGCTTGCTGAAAATGAGGATAGCTTGAAGCACTTACTGATGAAGATTAGTGACTACAGTCTGCAGTATGGATTACTCCTCAATATAAAGAAAACAAAAATCCTCACAACTGGTCCAATAAACAGCTTTATAGTGGATGCAGAAAAGACTGAAGTTGTCAAGGATTTTATATTACTTGGCTCTACAATCAACACCAATGGAAGCAGCAGTCAAGACATCAGATGACATGTTGCATTGGGCAAATCTGCTGCAAAGGGCCTCTTTCATGTGATGAGGAGCAAGGATGTCTCCTTCAAGACTACAGTGCATCTGACCCAAGCCATGGTATTTTCAGTCTCCTCTTATGCATGTGAGACCCGGAAGGAATAAAAACTTGATGTGTTTTAGCTGTGTTGGAGAAGAATGCTAAGAGTGCAATGGTTTGCTAAAAGGACTAACAAATCTGCCTTGGAGGAAGTGCAGCTAGAATGCTCCTTGGAAGCGAGAATGTTGTCAAAAGGAACTATTCCCTGGAGAAGGATATCATGATTGGTAAAGTGGAGGGTCAACAAAGAAGGGGAAGGCCCTCAACGAGATGAATAGACACACTGGCTGCAATGATGGGCTCAGGTATAGCAAAGATCATGAAGCTGGCACAGGACTGGGCAATATTTCATTCTGCTGTGCAGTGGGTCACTATAAGTTGGAGACAACTTAACAGCACCTAACAACAACAACAATATTCTTCATTACACATAGCACACTTAATACTGAAAACTTAAAGTCTAATGCATCCTAGTCTTTACTCAAGTTCTGAGTTACCCTAATAACTCTGTGACCAATGAAATATGAAGACAATATTGCTATGGAATGTTAGTTTCTATATCTATTAAATGAATCAGAATATAGTAGAATCTTAATGATTATAGGCTTGGAAACCTATGGGGCAGTTTCACTCTGTCCTATATTGTTGCTATGAGTCAGAACTGACTCAAAGGCAGTGGGTGGGAGTATCTACTGAGTATCTACTAAAATGAATTAAAAATTCATTTGAGAAAAATCTTAATGTTATTAAACTGAAAATAATAATAATAATCAAGAAAAGGTAAAATGAAATCAACTCATTGGCTCATGATGCTTTCACCTAAAAGATGTTTAATCCTTGCGTCTCTCCCTGCCCCCACTCCCACCCCCTCAGATTTTTTTTTTATTCAAGGAGGCAGCAAAATATAGTGACTGAAAAGACTCTAAGAGTCAAACCGAATGGGGTCAAATCCTTTTTCCTTACTACCTTGAGTGTATGTCTTACCCTCTCTGTTCCTTCTCTCAGCTGTAACAGAGATATATAATAGTATCAACCTCTTTGCAGAGATGCAAGGATTAATTTTATATTACAAAACAGTATAATGACTAGCAAATATTAAAATTTTTATTATTAGCTATTTGTAATGTCATTTGTGGAAAGTTAATTGTTATTTATGCCCAAACCTGAATGAGTGCCAAAAAGGATTTATTTATAAGCTGTATCCTATAGAATCAAACCTGTACCCCACATTGGTTCCATGCATTAAATAATTTCCTTAGCAATTAAATAATTGCTGTCATACCATCAAATGATGAATGAAAGTCCCTGAAAGTACCCTGAGAACCAGAGAAACCTTCAACTCAGCTTCTGGGGGGAAAAAAATCCCACTAAGAGTCTGATTTCTCCAAAGGGTTTCTTTTCATTGCTTCTGCTAGATTTTAGATCTACACGATGAATAGGTATAAATGTCCATCTGCAAGGCAAAAATGTTTAGATACTTTCTGTAATATTGCAGGGCCTACTCACTCGACCAGAATATAATATCTTGAAATAAGTTAAGTTTTACAAGGTCTCATAGAAAGTAAACTGGCAAGAGTTTAAAGTATCCTTAAGCTCCACCACTTACATCCATTTGTTCTACAAGTATCCCTTCAAATGAAGAGAAATCAGAAATAATTGAGCCTGAATGTTTCAGAGAGGATCGTCCAGTAACCTCAGTAAACCAACATTCATTAATCAGTATTGTTTATATTTGGCAGTGCAAACTGTTAACACACTCAGCTCCTAACCAAAAGAGTAGAGGTTTGATTCTACCCAGAGGTGCCTTAGAAGAAAGACCTGGTTATCTGCTTCCAAAAAAACTGCCACTGAACCCCAGTGGAGCACAGCTGACACACGAGGTCGTCATGAGTCAGACAGCAACTGGTTTCATTATTTACATTTAAATTACATTTTTAGTTTTCAAATGGATTTCTCATTTATTTCAGTAGACACTCAAAACTATATTTGAAACTGGTTATGGAGAGCTCTGGTCTTCCTAATTATTTAATTAATTCTGAAGCTGTAAGTGGTTCAGAGTGACAGCCTTTTGCAGTAATTAATTCAGGCCTGTGGAAGATTAATTTCATACACAGAGGTGCTGATTTCCCTAAACATCTTGTTTTGGAGGCAAAATCTGTCCTCAAATGGACTTTTGAAAGGGAGCTGAATCTTTGTCAAAAGTTTGTAAAATCCACTCTCTTAACATTGGCTAGCAGGAGCAGTAGCATTTGTTGGAGATGCCATGAACTAAGCCAGCACCAGATACAGATTCTCCATTTTCATTTTAGCTCAGACAGATGGCCTCTACCAGGTCACTTAATTTTTAGGAGTTCTTGAAAGATAGGATGAGAAAAATCCTTTACTAACCTTCACAAAAGCTTACTGACAATGGCAAAGATTTTGGAATTCATTTAAGTGGGAAAAAAACAACCCAGAACAATACCCTGAAATAATAATCACAATACGAGTAGCAACTGAGATCTTAAAAGCTTGCAAGCTGCCATCTAGATGCAATGATGGGTCTCTCCTCGTCCAGGACCAAGAAGAATAAAGAAAACCAAAAATTCATGGAAACAATCAGTCCTAGCGACTGGTACACCATCGATCTGCAGCCTCTACAACCATGAGACCAGAAGAAATAGACAGTGCTAGGCTACTACTGTCAAACACTTGGAAGAGGATCTTTGTAGGAGATCCTGGATAGACAGGGGGAAAAATGTGGAACAAAACTCAAAATCATTTGGGAAAAAAAAAAAAAAAAAAGCGGGGAAAAGGTTTGCTGGCTTGATGGAGCCTGGTGGAAGCACTGAGACTGTGGCCCCTAGCTGCCCTTCAGGTCTGGAATTGAACGCACACCTGTGGCTTCCAGTCAAGCATAGACAGGCATACTAGTTGAGCATTTACCTGAGGTAGATACACTCCTTGGAGAGAACAAGCAAGAGAGAAAGAAAGGCTGCTCAGGCACAGCGAGACAGCTCAGGGGGAAGGAGTACATGGAGGGATGGACACAGGGAAGTGGTACCTACTGGGAGGAAGTGGGAGAGGAGCTGTTGCATTGTGGTAAATTGTGGTCAATATCATGAGACAAAGTGGATGTGATCTGCTGTATGGAAAGTGTATTTGCTCTGTAAATTTTCACCCAAATCACAATTGAAAATGGGAGATGCTCAAGAACACGGTGCTGGTACAATTACAATCTGTTGTTGTTGTTGTTGTTGTTATTTGCTGTCGAGTTGCCCCGACTCATAGCGACCCCTCCTTGGGTTTCCGAGGCAGTATCACTACGGAAGTAGGATTGCCCAACCTTCCTTCCAAGTAGTGGCTGGTGGGTGTGAACCACCAGCCTTCTGGTTAGCAGTCAAGTGCCTTAGGCACTATGCTACCAGAGCTCCTCAATTACAATCTGGAAGACAATAATCTCTTCTCAGAATTGTTGGAGTGAAGCACCACAGAAAAAGTATTTCATTTTCAAATACCTTTTCTGCTCTGGCTTTATATTCCCCAACTTAATACCTAAACATGGTACTCCTTTTATTGAAGAGAGTGCTTAAATACTGTATCTATTTGTTTTGCTAAAAAAGTTTTTTCAAAGAATATTACATATTTAGTTGGTGTTCAAATAAATCTTTTTACTTCTCTACAATACCTGTGTTTTAGCTCTATTTCCCAATTTAGCAGGCTTTAGAAATATTTTTGTGGGATAGCAAAATAAGTCATGGCCATCCAACCAATTCCCCACCAGACAATAAGGACATCTAGTGGAGAATAAGCAACAGAAGATGATTTGGTTTTCATGTAAACATTTCTATTTTATTTAGAACACAAGGAAAGAAATGCAGAAATTGTTTGAATAGCTATGCAATAAACCAACAAAGTCCATCAAACTAGGTGAAACTGCATGTTAACCTGTATGGATTTTCAAAGTGTTTTAGTGGTAGAATAAGGAATGGGAAATTAGATCTGTTCTTCTGTGGGGAGGAATATGGGTTTTGAAGGCTTATGGAGCACTGATTGCCTCTATACATTTTTGTGGGTTTATGCTGGAGAAATTTCTATACAACCCTGACCAAAAATCTCTGGGAGAGAGCAGTATTTTCTCTCAGAAGGCTGTGTGTGTTTGTGTGTGTGTGTGTGTGTGTGTGTACACATATGTGTGTGTAGGCACGCAGCCAGTAACTGCTGGATTTTGCTTAGTCTCAATGGTCAGGTTAAGAGTTATTTATATATAATTCATACTCTCTTCTCAATTGTGAACCCCAGAAGAACATGAGCCTTATTTTCTTTCTTTGTGTTTCCTTCAACCTGCTGACAGTTCATTTCTTACAACTTCTGCTTATGCTTACTGAATGAATGGTTGAATTCTCTGCCAGGAGAATTAGAGAAATAGTAATGCAGGAGTGTTCTCCCCTGCACCAATACATAGGTGGATTCCTAATAGCTTAGGTGGGAAGGAAACCATCAAGCAGGCCACTGATCTGCAGTGGAAGTGGAATCTGAGGATGGAACCAAGAATTATATAGGGAAACTGACACATGGAAGTCAGGATGCTCAGGTTCTACTCCTAGCTCTGCCTAAAATTTCCAGTGTAAAGCACTTCATAATCTTTGTACAGTTTGCAGCCTTTATTAGAAAACTATTTTATGTGAGAATTTGTAAGTCTAATTTTCCTTCCTTACCAGGTTACTGCACAGAAAGAGCTCAGATGGTTGTCAGAGAGAAATGGGTTTGCAATGGGTAATATACTCTACTGCACAGGGTTTAATTCCTATTGTGAAGATTAAGTTTGATAAATAAAAGTAAAGCATCCTTAGCTGAGGACTTGGCACATAGCTGGAACTCAATTAATCCACATTAATAATATTAGCTATTTCGTAAAAGTCCAACAGAAACATAGAGGGTGCAAAGCTAAAATCCTAAAAGTATTGAGACATGGTCTCTATTCAATGAATTAAAACAAACAAAAATAGGTAATCTCTAACTTTTCCTAACCCTGCTGCATTCTTGCACTGAGAGTTAGTTTATTTTCTAAAATGAGGCTAAGAAAAATGAAATCTGGAGGAATATCAACTAGGGGTACAGAGAAAGAAATCACCTCATGAAAACAAAATGCTACTTTTTCTACATCCAAAAGGAAAGCTGAACAAGGAAGAGGGAATGGGGTATGGCACTGAAGCTTTCAGGGCCTAAGGGGCGGTTCAGGACCAACCCAGGGGGTAGCTGTAGACATACCTGGCGCTTTTTGTCTGCAGTGGGAGATGACCTGGACCGCACGTGGACAGGGACTGCCAGGACATCCGAGCGCTCAAGCAGGTCCTCAGCTGACTTGGACTTCCCGGTCCTTCTGGCAGTAGGCCCCCAGAAGGGTGGCTCCCCAGGGGTCCTGTCCATCCTCTGGGGACCCTGAGGCCCACAGTTAGCTCCTCCCAGCAGCTCTGCCCCGGTGGGCTCCCTCGGGGCTTGGGGGTCTCCGTGCCGCCGTTCCCTGGGAAGGCGGCCGCCTGCGAAGGAGCTGCTTCGATCCCGAGGAGCCCGCGGCGGCTCCCCGCCAAGCGCTGGAGCTGCAGCCAGCAGGAGGTTTGCCTCCCTGTGGGGCTGCAGGCTTGGTTCCGGAAGCGGAAGCGACGTAAGGCTGGAAGCCCCGGACAAGCCAGGGCCTTCGGGTGCCATGGGACCAAGCTGGAAATATGAGCCCTGAGTGTACTCCCGCAACAATCCCGGCTCCTGGAGGCCACAGCCCATGGAGGAGGATGAGGGCCGCTTGCCAGTCTTACGCTGAATGTAGTCTGCCAGGGCGCTCTGCTGGAACTGCTTCAGCTCAGGCCCGGACAAGCTGAGCGACGAGGAGGCCTTCCCGTCGCGTTCAAAGATCCGGCGGCGGTCGGCCACGGTGGTCTCTGGAAAACGCAGACCCTTCCTCTGCGGACCCAAGGTCGTTGGTTCTGCCTCCTCTAAAACTCCTACTTCGTTCATCTTCTCGGGCTCCGAGTAGGATAGCTTCTTCTGCTCGGGAGTCAGGCGCCGGCGTGCCCCTCTTCGTGTGGTGGCAGGGTGTGCAGGCTGCGCGGGGTTGCTCTCAATCGGGGTCACACTATGACGCTCACGGGGCGTGTGTGGGGATGGGGAGAGCACCGCAGGTGCCTCAGGGCTCCGCAACCCCACGTGGGCCGAGGCAGGCCGGGGTCGCCAGGGCCTAGATGCCCCAGGTGCCCCCAGTTCGAGGTCCTTCCGTCGAAAGGAGGTGGCCCCCAGGACTCGGGACTGTGCGTCCTTGATGCTGTTCCTGTAGGCGCGACTAAAGGGGGCATCCAGCAGGGGCGACTCGGGGGTACCAGGCCTGTCATCTGGCCACATGGCCTCGTTCTCAGCCTCACTGGACAGTTGAAAGGTGCTTTGACTGCGGAGGAGGCAAGCATCCCGCCTGGAGGTCTCACCACCTCGGAATGGGGGCCCACGGCCACCATCTGCACCCCTCCTTAGCTGTTGACTGCATGGCTGCCAGGAAACCTCTTCCAACTTTGTCTCTCTGTTTTTGAAGTGCTGCTCCCCATTGCTTAGAGGCTCAGTGGATTCAGAAAAACGGATGTTGGCTCTTGCCTCTTCAAGTTCATTTCCTGAAGTACTGGAAGTTGAGACTGTCCTGTTGGGTCTAAAGGTATGGCCATAATTGGTGCATCCTACACTTGAGCTCTGGCTCCCTTGCTCTCGTTGCTCAATTTTGGAAACCTTCTCCAGCACAGAGCAGTGGGGCTTCCCATATTGAAAGCCCTGCAGAGCTGAGGCGGTACCTGAGCTGAGCCTTCTCCGGCCCAGACTGGATGTTTGCTGGTGTAGTGGGGAGGAGGGTTCTTCATACCTTGGTTCTGAACTGTGGAAAGAGGCTGAAATGCTAGTTCTCCCCTCAGGTCTTGGATAGGAAACTGGCCTGTCCAGATGGCTCCTTTGGTCAGGACCAACTTTCCTTCCAAAATCCTTAGCCTTGGTGTTGACTATAGAGGCTGGCTTGCCATCTGGGTAGCCCTCCTGAAATCCCCCTTCTAGCTCCAGGCTCCTCGGTCTTCTTAGACTCTCTGGAATGTTCTGGAGAGATGAGAAGGCTGACTTGGTCTTGCCAAAGTTTCTTGACAAGCTCTGGCCTAAGCCTTCTCTCTCCTGCCTCTTCTGGGAATTGGCATTGTAGTCTTCCTGGAAATCTTCCTCCCAGGGCTCTGAGGGCCTGGAAAGTCTCTTGTCTTCCATTTGCCAGGCTGAAACCTGAGGGGATTTGAAGCTGTGGTGATTAGAATATGGTTTGTTGCTGTGGGTGCTCTTTCTCTCGCTAGGATGTGGGCTGTTGCCTTGGGGAGATGTGAGGTGTCTCCTCAGGGAAATATCCTCCTCATTTTCAGGCACTGATGGAAAATGGACTTTGTAGGGGACAAATTTGGCTGTATTTTCTGGTTTCTTCTCTACTGGGGACTGTGAGTCATGTTCTAGGGGCTGGTAGAAGGCAAACCCAGGCCTGGTAGACCCATTTTGGTTCCCATTCTCATCAAAGGTAGCCATTTTGTCATAAGCTGCCTGAGGAGCTGTATATCCACTTTCCTTGGCCAGTGCAGGGTACAGCATACCATTACTGTTCATGGAAGGCTGGGGTACCTGGGCAAAGTGTGGCTCCACAGAAGGTACAGGGTAGATGCCAGTTGGGAGCAGAGGTTGGCCTGGTTGTGCCTTCTGGGTATAATTATGCTTGGGCTTCACTGGGGGACTGCTCTCTGGACTCTTCTCTAGTACTGTATGCAACTGTTCCTCTATGAATGGAGACTTCAGGGAGCCTGAAGAGTTTGCTTGAGGCCGGCAGAAGCGTTTCTGATCAAGGCTAGACCAGGAGCTGGGTCGCTCACGGTGCCGGATGGCTGCATAACTGTCGCTGCGAGCTGGGGGCAGAGGTGCACTCACCTTAGATGGTGGGTTGTCAGTACCAGTCTCCAAGGAACTGGGGCAATGCTGGTTCCAGGATGGGGGTGGTATTCCCCTTCCTCGAGGAACATTATGCCATTTATCATAGCTCTGACCTTCTGCTGATGCTCGGGCCTCCCTGCCTTGAAGCACAGCTGAAGAGTTTACTTCATACTCTTCTGAGACTCCTCTCCGAGTATCATAGACTGTCTTGACATAGCGAATGTCTGCTTGCCTCATCCCTTCCAGAAGACCACCTCGAGCAGAAGTGGTATCCATGGAGCCTGAACGTTCCCGACCAGAGATGCCAGGAGGTGGATATTCGAGGATGCTAGAACTGGTGGAGAAGGAGCTGTAAGCAGAGTCTCTTTTGTTATGGAGGTGGCTGAGCTGGTCAATGCTGCTAGTGGACTTGGCAGGGGAAAGAAGGTGGCAGGGTGGGTATCCTGTGCTGGGCTCCAGGCTCTCCATGCTCCCCTGGGAGCTGCACCGGTCAGGGCTCCGCCTCAGATAAGCATGGTCGTAGTTGGAAAGGTCACTTGTAGAGGAACTGAAAGAAAGTAAAAGAAAGCAGTTACTACCACTGAGCAGATATCATTAAGCAAGCTTCCAGGCACAGAACCCAGCTTATAAATGTACTCTTATGCAAGATGTTTAGTTTTTTGAAGGGTGGGTAAAAAGGGCCATATTTGGGCCTTGCTCAGCCATCCTGTGTGTCATCACTAGGAATAACTGTCCAACACTGTAACCTATGTGCCTCTTATTAATCACTTGAGCTTGCAAGGAGAGGAACAGGGAGCATAGAGGAAGCCATGGGGCAGTGCATTGATGTGATTTGCTATGTGCTGGAAATGATATTATGCTCCTGCCAAGAAATGACAGAGGTGTGGTGGGGGAGAGAGAAGAGAAGAGGACGAAGAGTGACTGAGATGGAATTTTGTGTTTGTTGGGGCTGTATGAGGGGTGAAGGGGAAAAGTTTAGTAAGAATAGGCATGTGAGGGGGTGAAGGACACCCTGTGCATCTGTATATGTTTTTAGTTAGTATCTTTCCTTTTTATGGAATTGGAGGCTACACCCTGGCAATCTTCCTGGAATCTCAACTATATTAGAGACAATTTGTTTGTGGTAGGAAGGCTAAACACAAAGCTGAATGAGAGAAATAGAAATCAAACAGTGGCAGAAAAGACTGACGAGGAAAAGCAAGAGGGAGAGAGTGAAGAAGTCCTAATCACAAGAGGTTCTTGGATCTGGGGCTGTCACCTATTCATGACTTCCCAGTGTATTTTGGAGGACTTTGCAAGGGACTGTCCAGTCTTATGTAGGGAGGGCTCTGTCCCTTCAAAAATTCCTATCCCCAAGCTGAGTGGGATATATGGACCCTGACACCACACTCCAGAGCAAGTACTTTTGTTGTTTTCTGGAAATAGTCATTTCAATTACCTTTATATTCCTACTTCCAAGATGGCACATTTAAGGGTGAGTTACAAGAACTTAGAATGGAGGTCTTCATTCTCTAACCCACAGGAATAGTCTTATTGTCAAGATGAATGTTTCTGGGATGTGTGAAAGTTCTTACTAGGTCTCGCTACTTCTCTAGAAAATGAGGTAGAAAACCTCATTTTCTGCCACTCTCCTTGATTACAGCACTGTAGCGTAATGGCCTCCTTACTGTAACTCAAACACATGAAATACATTCCCATCTCAGAGTTTCAGGGCCTTTGTACCACCTGGAATGCTCTTTACCTGGCTCATCCCCTTCCTTTATTCAAATCTCTGCTTCAGAGAGGACTTCCTGGAATTCAGTATGTAAGTAGCACCTCTTCTGTCCTTACTCCATTTCTTCATAGTACTTACCACTGCTTGACACTATGGCCTATCTCTTTGGTTATATGAAAGACACTCCAATTGTATCTTTATATTAACATATGAATAATATATAAACAATATCTGCAGCATTCTGACAAAACGTTAATTCTGACAAAATATGATAGATACATGTACACTTGTAAAATTACTGTTTTGTGTTTTAAAGTATGTTTTAATTCTTAAAACAGCAAAGGGCACAAAACAAGCATATGAAAATATTTTTTTTTCCCCTAAATTTTCATTGTGATTTGGGCAAAAGTCCACAGAGCAAATCCACTTTCAATACAACAGTCCACACACACCCTGTCCCATGACATCAGGTGCAATCTCCCACAATGCAACAGCCTTCCTCCCACTCCCCCCCCCACATGAAAATATTTCTTAATGTGTACTCTAGAACATTAAATTCCTTTGATGATCAAATATGTTTGAAAAACACTGGGCTAAAAAATTAAGCAATTTTCTTTACTGCAAACTTCAGAGTCTTTAGTAAACTATTGTTCATGTGATGTTCTAAAAGGGAAAAATAAGCAGTGTTCTCTAAACTTACTTGACCTTAGAAACTTTTTCTCAAGGTTTATCTAATGGATTATTATTCCATGACATGCTTTTGGAGATACAATAAGTGTTATAGGGTGGGGGCTTTTTATGTCTTGTTCACCATTCTATTCTCAATACCTAGAAATCATCAAGCACACAGTGGATATTCAATACATATTTGTTGACTATTTGAATCAATGAATAAGCACTGGTACTTTAGTATTTTCATACTGTTATTTCAGGGGGCTGGACCACAAGTATTTTAATACTTTAGGACCATTGTGTGAAATTACTGCAGGAAGCAAAAAGATAGAGATAAAGGTATGATGGAAAGCAGCTGAAATAAAATTTCATTGGAATTCCAAATCCAACCTAACACACAGACAGTTAAAATTACACACCTTCAGTGTCTTTGCACTTCTCTCTCTTGTTCTCTTCATGCATGCCCTTCTCCCATTCTCTGGCTACTTCATACTGCTTCTTAATGAGAAATTGACCTATAAATTTGGAATTGAGATTGGGTTTCTGGAACTAAACTAAGGCTGGTAGAGGGATGCCAACCTACTGATTTGGCACACTAGATGATGAGATGCCACGGTGCTCCTCAGAAACACACTTGGAGTGCTTCTCCATCTGCAGTTGCCAAAATCAGACCCTGTGAGTGGGACTCAACTGTGGGGCAGAGCCCCCTGACACAGCTGTAAACCTGAGGCATGGGATGGATGGATAACAGGATGATTTGTGCTGGGGTAGGAGAGAACACACACTTCTGTAGCATTTTGGGTGCTCTGACACCTGGCTCAATGGCAGTGAGTTTGTTTTTTTCTGTTTTTGAACACACACAGTGCTTCTGTGCTGACTTTTGTCAAGAGAAGCTCTTTTGAAGCTGGAATAAGAGAGTCAGAGGTAGTAGGTACAGTACGAGGGCAGATACACCTGCTTAAACTCTTGGGGAGTTTAGGATGTGGAGGAGGAAACAGGAGGTAGAGAAGGTAGTCATCAATACCTTTTACTTCAAGTGCCGGCTCCACTATTTCACTGAGGCATCCTGGAACTCACCATAGTTAGGTAAGGAGCTAATCTAAGCAGTAGTTGCAGAGGTCTTATTTCTGTCTGGGGGCCAACCTGTTTGTTTTTATTCACAGCATAACTTCAGATTTAGGGCCTCCTTAGATTTTGGTTTTTGAAGGTTAGCCAGAGCTAACCAAAAAGTTGGCTGTTCAAACCCACCACCTGTTCCCTGGAAGATGGAGCAATCTACTTCCATAAAGATTTACTGCCTCAGAAACCCAGTGGGGGTCGCTATGAGTCTGAACTGACTTGATGGCAGTGAGTTTGTTTTTTCTTTTTTTTTTTTAAATTGTGATTTGGGTGAAGATTTACAGAGCAAATTCACACTCCATACAGCAGTTCACATACACTTTGTCTTATGACATTGACCACAGTTTACCAAATGCAACAGCTCCTCTCCCACTTCCTCCCCATAGTAACCTCTTCCCAGTGTCCATCCCTCCGTGCACTCCAGCCCCCTGAGCTGTCCCCCTATACATAAGCAGCCCTTCTTTCTCCCATGATTGTTCTCTCCAAGGAGTATATCTACCTGAGGTAAATGTTCAACTCATATGCCTGTCTTTTGTTTGGCTGGAAACCACATGTGTGGGTTCAATTCCAGACCTGAAGGACAGCTAG